CCTGCAAAATGCTGAATGTTTTCTGATCTGAGCAAAATGGGTATAGTTTTCCTTTAGCTTGCAAGATAATGAAAGAGGAATGGGAACTGCTTTTACAAAATGTTTATAAAATTAATTTGTTGTCTTGATTCTAAACATCTTGAGATCATATAAAACACACATGATCAGAGAAGTGAGGCAAACTAGTGTTTATGCTGAACTACACAGGTTGGCAGAGCTAGTTGTACTCCAGAGTTGCAAGCAAAGATTTTATTTTTCATTGTTACAGAATGCAATTCCCAGGGCCAGCCCACAATTTTTTTGGGCCCCCTGTAAAACATAGTTTTGGGGCCCCCTGACGCGAAGAACCCAATGTCGGCAATGGAGCGGGAGGGGCAGGGGGGGCCGCAGCTGAAGAAGCCAGCAGCAGTGGTGCAGCACAGGGTGGTGGCGGGTGGTGAGCGGCTGCAGGTTTCACAGGTTAGGATGGGCCGGCCCTGCCAATACCCCTTGGGTAATTAATCTCTCTGTTCAAAACTGATATGGTGCTACACAGCATCTCATCTGTGGTTTTACTCTGGTTAGAACAAGAACTCAACACACCTGAGCTCATATACAAACTTTTACTTACTCTTTTCTATCTCTACTGATAGACCAAAGAATCACTATAGCGTGTATAGTTATGGAAATGTCCTGCTTTTTCTTGTCCTATTCCTTTACATTTCTAAGACTCTGATATGAAGAGTAAATCTAGGCAAGAAAGCTCATTCTAGTTCACAGATCATTTTGTTACCTCAAAATGTTACTTTTATTCCAATTTGAAATAAGGGAAAAAATTGAAATTCACTGTGAAAAAGAAAAAAGACCCAAATCTAGGGCAGTTCACCATTTAAACTGCTGCAGTCATAGGGGTGTACTTGGTAGCCGTGTTGGTCTGAGACAAGAAGACAGACAAAAAACTAGAACTCGTGGTTCCAAAATGATACCTTTTATTAGACCAACTGGAGGCAGAGTCATAGGGCATTTATACACATACTTTTTCATGCTGTGACACGCCAGAGATCCAGCGCATGTGAGCTAACACTCACTGCGCTGTGTCACTTGCAGTTGCATAAGCAGCGAAGTACATGTCAGTGCAGATAAATGGTGGTGATATGCTTTTGAACTTAAAACACTTTAGATGTATTTTAGTTCAAAAGCAGACTGCTGCCATTTTCTGCATGCTGATGCACAGATTGCCACTGATACAACTGCGTGCATTGCAGCACCAGGCACTGTCCTTAGCACTCAGTGCTGTGGTGCACGCGCGTGTAAAAATGCCCACAGGCCCTAGGAGCTTTGGTGAAGGGGGAACCCTATCAGAAACCTATCACAATTGAAACAGACTCTCTCAGTGGAACAAGACACAGGTTATAAGAACTTTTCTAATGAACTCTAATGATTGCTCATCGACAGTAGTGCTTTTACATGTCCTTTTTCTTATTATTGTGTTTTTAATATAAAATAATCCTGGTAGGCCTGAAATAAATGTTTAGTTCATTGTGCATTTACACATCATTGTGGTGATGAGGATGAGATTAGAAAATAACAGTGAATTTAGAAAGTGAGTTTCTAAATTTGGAATTTAAAAAGTAAATTTCTTTTTTTTTAAAAAGCTATGAAGTGACAACACATTAAGTCAATTTCCAGTTTAATTTTAAAAGAGTAAAGAGATATCTCCAATAAAGAGCAAAGCATGTGTGTGCTGTGCTACTATAACCCAAAACTATAAAAAACAGCTAATACCTCATTCAGAGAAGGAATGTTCCCTTCTTCTGACACTGCCCAGCTTAGCTGACAGCCTGAACAGCTCTTGGCCTTGCCCATGCCTACGCATATTAGCTGAGCTCCAGCCCCCCCAGACTCAAGCAAGCACAGCTTGGGGGGCCTCTGTTCCCCCTCTCCCGCAGCACTGTGCAGTTCAGCTGCTAGCCTAAATGGCTCTCAGCCCTGCTTCTCCCTGGTGGTGTCAGTCGAGCCAAGCTGGGCAGGGTGGGTGGAAAGGTGGGGGAGTATGAGCTCCCTTCAGCTGTGCTTTCTCAGGTCTGGGGGCTGGGGCCTGGCCCACGGGGTGGGGGCTCTGTTCCTCCCTGCCCCCCCACTGCTGCCCATCTTGGCTGACACAGGCAGGCAGGAGCCAGGGCTGCCAGCCCAGCCACTCAGTACCAGGTGCAGGGGGGTTGGGGAGGAAGCCGCTGCCCGGCGGTCTGGCCTCAGCCCCCCAGACCTGAGTAAGCACAGCAGGGGGGAGCCTGTGCTCCCCCACCCTTCACCCCACCCAGCCCAGCTCTGCTGCCAGCAGCAGGGAGGTGCAGGGCTGAGAGCTATTTGGGCTGTCAGCCAAGCTGGAGAGCATCAGGAAAGTGGGGGAGCAAATGCAAATGCCTGCTCCCCCTCCCCTGCCCCCGGAGCAGGCATAACTGGGGAGGTGTCCCCCTGCCACTAACAGGG